TGTCATACTTGGCAGGATTCAGGGGGTGGTTCATTCTAATACATTTGCACTGCCTGGATAACTTCTGCCATAATATATTCATGACGAATTCTGGAGAGCCAGCTGCCGTTGAAGAAATTAACCTCGGGATTCACAGGGCACGACTAAGAAAAGATACTGCAACAAATGATGCAAACAATGGAGTGAGGATCATCTTGCTGTCGTTGATAATAATATTGTTTACAAATGATACAAACATAGTACATGATTTGGAGCTCAATAGTCAATTGAAACGATTAATAGTTTAACCAGTAAGCCAGTATGTAGCACAACATAGTATAGTTATTACAAAGGTGAAAGATTATCACAGAGGTTGCATTTATTTATCTTTGGTTACGCCGTAATTAACAGTGGTATATATGCCAGGCCGTATGATCAGGCCGGGTTGACCAACCTACAGTTGGTCCTGATCTGCCCGACGGTTCCGTTGGGCGGGCTGAGGTTCCCCATCTTTATCATCGCGGCTGCGAAATCGACAAAGAAGGCGGCATTGTCTCCTTTGTACTTGAGCACTATCTTAACCTGCGTCTGGTTGTTCTGGGGGTACAGCACCTGGTCGGAGTGGAGGAGGCCGCGCAAGCTGGTGAGGTCCGCGTAGTACTTATTGTCGAAGGTGGACCCCGTCGAGTCCAACGGCGCCGGCAAGGTGTCGTTGATGGGGCCATTTTGGGGGCAGTTGGCCTTGAGCCCCTCGGCGAACTGAAAATCGATGCGGGCTTCGTTGTAGAGGCGGAGCCGGTAGTTCTGGCACTGCGCGGAGCCGATGGTGTGCGCGCCGGAGAGCACGGTCATCTCGGTCGCGCTCAGGCCCTTCCTTTGGAATCTCGCGATGAGGTCGCTGCCGTCAGGAGGATTGGTGACGAGGTTGGCGAACGGCGGTGGGAGGTCCCTGTTGGCCAGGTCCATGCTCGCCGTCGTCGAGTCGCGCCGGCCGAGCGGCACCGTCCAGGTTGGCCCGCCGAGCTGCAAATAATGCAAAGAGATTGACCTTTTAGCACCCGGTGTCTATACTCCCTCTTATCCTCACCATCCATGCATAACATGAGATCTAGAGATTTGTGCCATGCACTGCATTGCTGCTTGTTTTGCAGATTTGCTTGAACAGTAACAACAGGAGCTAGGCCTGCAAAGGCACTGTACATTACTGGCAGATTCCTCCTCACTTGTCACTTCCGAATCATCGCTGGAACAGTAGCACCGTGAGCTGGGCTCATGCGCTCCCATTATTTTTGAGCTTAGAAGCGCCAAGAGCCACTGTGCTCTTTGATTGAGAGAAGTCTGGCACATGCCACCACCACACCCATCGAGGTCAAATAGAGGAGTATTATTTAGAAGTAACTTCTTATGCATGTGATTATTGCGGGTAGTACAAAACAAATCGTCCATGAAGGATAAGCTTTTCTGCACGTCCTGTCATATCTGTCGGGTAAAGACTAGTCAAAAATAGATACCTACTGCTCAGTCCTATATCCCAGTACTACAAGCCTACATGTGAAGACGCGTATTAGACAAGGCAAATGGGCTGACAAAGCACTCGTGCTGCAAATGGTCAGACCTCAGCACGAATCTTGGCATGACTGGACGGGAGTGATAATGGGGTGCCGGGAGTCCCGGGTGCTACCACACCTTTTCCATAATGCAAAAGACATCACATGCCGGCGGTTCAAATGAATGTACAGTACTTGCAGTTTCCGCGTCCGGGACTACGTACCAGAAAGGTGCCGTCCCGTGCGGCGAGAGTGAGGATGTCGGCGCAGGAGACGGTTTTTGGGCAGGCTTGCTCCACTGCGGCCTTGATCGTGTCGATGACCTCAAAGCCACGGAGGGAGTTGATGTTCCCGAAGGCGTTCTTCTCACCGATCGCCGGAGTAGTCGCCGTAGCAGGCACGTTGTCCAGGAGGACCGATCCGTCGCACCCCTAACCAAAATCAAATGCCAAAATTATATACTGTGCGCGGAACGCAATGCGTGCATGATAGAATCGATCGATCTGAGCCAGCCAACTGCATGCACATGGATATTCTCATACCTCGACGAAGCAGTCGTGGAAGTGGAGCCTGAGCAGCGAGGCGCCCATCCGTTTCTCGCTGGCGACGGTAGTGTTCATGACGCTGCGGACGATGGCCTCCAGGTTCGGGCAGGTCGACGCGTAGAACGTCGGGCTGAGCTGCCCGTGGGCGCCGGAGACGAAAAGGACTAGTAGCGCGAGGAATGCGCAACACCAGGTGGTGGTGCAGGACGCCGCCATTGTAAGGGTCTAGCTTGCTTGCTTGCTTTCCTTGGGTGAATGGCACGAGCTGAGTGATGGAGTATGCACCGTACCCATGCCGCTACTTATAGTGCAGTTGCGTCGCGTCCATGCAAGATAGCTGGCTTTGCATATTACGGCCTCCTCACCAAAGTCAGAGCTTACCTCTCGGTGGCCATGCATGCGTGCAAACTTCGCCATCGATCGCGCTGGTCGTCCGGTGAGCTTACAAGCTGCGTTGCGCTGGCATAGTAAATTAGTAACACTACTTGCGAAGTCAAAGCGTGTAGCTTAGCGAGAATGCTGCCGCCATGCATGCATGCTTACCGATCGAGAATGCATATGTGCATGTGATACTGTGGACTTTGGCCAGCAGCCGCCTGCATGCATTATTTCTGAATGTTACGTATAATGGGAGATTACCGAGCAGAGCTGGCTCTTGGGAGCCCGAATGTACAGCTAAATCGTCTGTCGATCGCGTAGGGACGTTCTAGATGTATATATACTGCCACTTGCCTACTTGTGTGTCTAGCTAGCTGGCTTGCGGCCCTCGTTCTTCATCCTCACTCCACTGCTAAAAGTAACCATGGACGTGCTCCATTTCGTCATGGCGCGTGCAACCCAAGATCTTTGCTGACGACGACGTCACCTTCACACGGCCGGAGTACGTACGTCGTGCGTATGCGTGCGTGCGTGCGCAGCCATGATCATGGATTATTATTGTTTTTGTGGGAAACAGTGAATATATTACACTTTAGCTACATGTGAGTCGCCTGCATTTTGAATTTAGGCCAGCTGATCTTTTGGCCGTTTGATCTGTTCTGAGATCTGTGCCTTTGTTTGTTTTCTGGCTGGTGCTTTTGGTCTGTTGGGTTGGATGGAATCGACTTACCCCTTATTTGGGACAGTCGATTTGCTTGTTGGGCTCGTTCCCGACGCTCGTTAAGATCTCAATGCCCGTTTAGGCTTGTGAGCGCAGCCCGCGTTGTGCAGGTGACCGGCACCTTGTCTCTTGCAGCCCTTCCACACAGAGAGAGTTGAGCACCCTCTCATTAACTTCGGGCCCGTCTCTCTCACTCACTTCTCTCTCAATCTTTTCGGCTCTCTAGGGTTCGTTGGTTCTTGCTACTCCCGTGTTGATATCCGCATTTGTTCTTGTTATATCTATGGAACTATCAGGTTTCGATTGAGTTCTTGAGTTATGTTTTAGTCTTCTTCTTCAGGTTTTTCTTGGCGGTGCCTGGTTAGGTTTCGTCTCCTCCAACCTAATCTTCGGTCCTCTGTTTTGCCTAAGGTATGAATTCCCCATGCTCGAATATGTGCTTTGTTCTTGTGATTTGTGCCTTTTCCCCTTTGATGTAGAGTTGTTGGTTAGTGAGCGATTATATCCGTATTTATTTAGTTGATTTGTTGGTCACTATCTAGTTAGGAAGCGATGTAGCTATCTCTTTTCTTCTTCTTTTTCTAGCTAGAGATCTTTGGATTTCTCATATTCATTTGTCCTGTGAGTAAATCCCCAAATCCGCTTCTTTCTCATGCGAATTAGCCCCAACCCATGTTGTTGTTTTTGTTGTTTCCTTTCCCCTTTCTTCAGTTTGATAGCACCACTGTTTT